AGATCGACAAATTAGAGGAGACAGGGGACCGTGACAACAGACATCAGGAAGTCCAGAGAATCATCAAGACATGCTTTAAAAACCTGTACTCCACCCATTTGAAAATCTAAAAGAAATAGATAATGTTCTCTATATCCACCACCCACCAAATTAAACCAAGATCAAATAAGCAGTTTAGTACTCTGGCTAACACGTGGCACAGGCACACCTGTAATAAATAAATATAATAAAAATAAATGTTACTAATAAATTGTTGTGTTGTTTATAAAATAAAATACAAATAAAAAAAGATAAATGTCTGAGAATAGCAAAGATGCTTTATATAAATGAAAGAGGCAAAATCACAGCACCAGATGTTAGGAAAGTCATCATGATGAAAACAGGGCAGGACTCACACATGGATGAGTGAGCAGTCAGAGTCTGAATAGCCACAGGCCAGAAATAGAGCCCGGAACAGAGAGCATGCATGTTGGAGGAGGAAGCTCCATGTGGCCCAGAAAACACAAAGCATTTAATGAACAGTTACATGGAGATGAGCTTACTCGTTTAAGAGACTTGAAGATATTGGTCCTCAACTTCTTATTGCATTTAAAAGTCCCTCCAGAGAGAATTTAAATAATTGTGACATATAAAACTATGAAGCGAACAAAAGAAAATATAAAAAAGTATAGCGTGTTTGTGATTTATGGGTGAAGAAAAGTAGAAAACTAAAAATCATGATGCTAACTGGGGGGAGGGGCTCCAGCTGAATCGTTACAAAGAAAGATATTTCTATTTGTTGAGAAAAATCACAGGCCAAATTGTCAGATAAGGAAAAATAAATAAAGGAACACATTGAAAATTCTGTGACTGAAGAACAAAGCAAAGAAAGCCCAGTAAAAAGTCAGGATCAACCGCGGGTAAGCTGAGAGCACCAAACTTGTAAGGGATACCCGCTCATCTGCTAGTGACATGTACTTGAAGAAATGAGACGACAAATATCCCCTTGCCCATCACCCCACAGATCCACAAAGGCGGGCAGACACTGTAAAATAAAAAGGGCAGATGTGAGTGCCCCTTGGGCTGCTAGCCAGGATGCAAACATAAACATTAGTGAACATAGATGTACAGGTTTCCTCTGACCCCAGATGCCCCCATCCCTGCCACCCGCCCCTGTACAGTCTGTAGATAGTCTCCTGCACAGAGAAAGCTAATCATGAGGGTCCCTGACAGCACAGGCACCTGCCTTCTCCCGGGAGCTTAGGAAGCGGCTCCCTGAGTGTGTGCGTGACAGACACTGGATAACCACGCAGGAAAGGATCCCATCTCAAAACCACATCTTTGGGGCTGGGGAGATGGCTCAGTAGGTGAAGTGCTTGCAGTGCAAGAGTGAGGACCTGAGTTCGAATCCCCAGAACCCACTCTAAGCTAGGGACACCACACACACCTGAAATAGCAGTGTTCATAAGACAAGATGGGAGGTGAGGCAAGGGAATTCCTGAAAGCCCGCGGACCAACTAGCTAGGTGTTCACAGACGTAAATAACAAGTGAGCCTTCTCAAACAAAGTGGAAGGTGAGGCCTGGCACTCGAGGTTGACCTCTGACCTCCACACGTGCATGCCATGTATATGCCCACACTCACAGCTGAACATATCCACACTACATACACATACACATCAAGTTTGCAAACTTCTAAAAACCACAAACACATGATACGTGTTTTCTCAGAGAAGGGCTATGTTTAAATAAAATTGACAAAACCTTCACAGAAGATGAGCAGAAAAGCAGCTGTGCTCACTCTGTTCCTTACTTGGGCCCATGGCTGCCCCCATGGAGACAGGTGCTTTGAAAGCGCCAGGGATTATGTGTGTGGGCATCTTGGTCCAGGTCCCTGAATCACATCAGGTGACCCCTACCCTCATCTGTGCCCCCAAAACACAGTCCAGTCCAATACTCTGGTTCCATTCCTACCCACCCATGACTGATCCAATTCTGTTAAGTAATTCTACCTTACTTTTTGTTTTCACTGGATAAGAGGTTTAAAATAACAGTCTTGGCATTTGCTCAATGGTTAAGTTGATTAAATTGCACTTACTGAACTTGGCAATTATTGGACTATGCCCAGGGTAAAGTCAAATACACTTATTGATTGGCACATGGACAAGTCAGAACCCACAGAATTACTCAGACAGAATTGGACTACCAACTCAGTGTCAGGAGGCTGTACCTCCCTGACCAGGAAAACATGAGGCTAATTAATGAGGGTTGCCTGCTGCCCAGGACATTTTCTAGCCTACAGGAAAGCCTAGGGGTCCAGTTTGGGAATTATTTGGGATAAATATTGAAAATCTGGGAGACTTTAACTTTTGTGTTCACTGTGAATATTTTAGGAAGGAATAGTGCTGCTGTTATTGCTGTAGTGTGTGTGTGTGTGTGTGTGTGTGTGTGTGTGTGTCTGTCTGTCTGTCTGTCTGTGTGTGTGTCTGTCTGTGTGTGTGTGTGTATGTGTGTGTGTGTTTGCACTCATGGGTGTGCAGGTGCCTCTGGAGGGCAGAAGAGGGTATCACATTCTCTGAAGCTAGAGTTACAGGTAGTTATAAGACATCTGATGTGGGCGCTGAGAACTGAACTCAGGACCTCTCTAAGAGCAACAAGCACTCTTAACCACTGAACCATCTCTCCAGTCTCCAAAAGTGTCATTTTTCTAAATCTTTTCTTCACAGTTATCTTTGCAGTTTTATATTTTAGGTTTCACTTCCAAATGGAGGTCCCTTTCCATAGCATATAAAACAGATAACTTTTTAAGTGTCCTTATAGCAAGCCAAAGTTTCTCTGTTTCCTTAGTGTGTGTGTGGGGGGGGGAGGGAGAGAGAAGGAGGGAAGGGGAGAGAGAGAGAGAGAG